GCCCCAGAGGGCTGGCAGCCAGCTGGCGGTGGCGGGACAGCCGAGCGGCGGCGGCCTGGCTGCCCTGCGGCGTGCGCCTACTCACTTGTGCTGATCAGCACCTCACTGTGAGCGCCGCTGGGGCCGGGTGCTGGGCTGGGGCTGCCCTCTCGGCCAGGCGCGGCCTCTGCTGGCGGCTCGTGCGGGGGCATTGCGAGGGGCAGGGTTTGGTGCGCGATGGACGGAGCCCTGCCATTCCGCTTCAATGCCAGCAGCGAAACGACACTTTCCGAGACGTGCTGGGGCAGCACCTCAGCAGGGCCAGCAGGGCCCTGTGGCGTGGCCACATACGTCAAAAACGCCCCTCCCTGCAGCCATCCGGCACAATATATACGCCCGATATGGATCAGCCAGACGGAGACGCCGCAGCAGGCGCTCCTGATGCCACCGCGGCCGCCGCCGCCTGGGCAGCCCCGCCGCCGCCTGCCCTGGCCCTGCAGGTGCATGGGCGGCAGCTGACGGTCCGGGCAGGCCCCCAAGCGGCCTCCCCGCTGCTCAGCGGCCTGCCAGACACCGGCCTGACCGTTCGCCAGGAGGAGTCTGGCACGCTGGTGCTGGGTTTGGCCAGCGGGTCCCTGGGACGCCCCACAGCAATGGCTGACGTTGCACTGGGCCAGGTGGGCTGGCAGAGGGCAGGGGCCCGCCAGGATGCTGCCAGCATGCCTGCCAACGGCCGCCTGCTGCCCTCAGACATCATTAGCAGCGGTCCAAGGCAGTCCAAGGCAGCCAGAGCGCCCGCAAGGAACCTCGCGGCCGCTCGCCGCCGCCCCCGCCTTGCGCCCGCCTGCAGCTGCGCTGCCGCCGCTTCCTGGCGCTGCCCAAGACCTCCCTCTACTGGATGTCTCCCCGCTGGGGCTGCACCGCCTCTCAAGTGCCGGTGCGGGGGCTGGGCAGGCTGCAGGTCTCGCTTGCCATTTGGCACACCTCCGCCTTAACCTGCACCATGCCGTGTGAGGCACATTCGCTTTCCACCCTGCTGCTGCTCACCATGGCCCCGCGTCCCGCTTCATGCTGCAGGTGGAGACTCAGTTCCTGCTTCTGGAGCTGGACAGCAGCGCTGCCGCCGCCGCCGCCGCTGGGGAGGAGGGCACGCCCGCCGCTCCTGACCCCGCCGCCGCTGCTGCGGCTGCGCCCCGGGCCGGCGCCGCCTGCTACGCGCTCCTGCTGCCGCTCATCGACGGCGGCCGGTTCCGCGGCACGCTGCGGCCGCCCAGGTGGGTGGCGCGCCTTGCAGGTGCAGCATATCGCTCCAGCCATCCTTGTGCCGACAACGGAGGGAGGGGTGGCATCTCCCCGCCTTTGGCTGCCTGGGCATGGCCTTTTGTGTGGGATGCCGCACACCACACCACCGCTGCCTGCTGACCACCTGCGGCCACCAGCCTCGTCAGCCGCGCTCGATGCCGCCTGCCGCCTCCTGCCTGCAGGTCCCGGGCGCAGGGGGACTCCCTGGTTCTCCGCATGGAGAGCGGCTCGCCCATGGTGGCAGCCGCCGCATGGCCCTCGGCGCTGCTGGCGGCCGCGGGCAGCGACCCGTTTGAGCTGGTGCAGCGTGGTGTGCGAGTGGCGGCGCGCCTGTCCGGTGTGTGCCTGGGCTTGCTGCCAGGGTCCAAGCATGCGCTTGCGGTTTCTTCTGACACCGAAACTGGGATTGCTGCTGCCACCGCTGCTGCCACTGCCAGCATGTGCCGTGGGAAGCTGGTGCCAAGCCTTTCAGCAACCCGCTGCTCCCTGCCGCACTGGCTGACGCCTGCAGGCACGGCGCGGCCCAGGGCTGACAAGGCTGTGCCGCCGGCTGCGGACGTGTTTGGGTGGTGCACCTGGGACGCGTACGTTTCTTTTTTGACGAGCGTTTGTTTATGCCAAACAGCCGGCTGCCCGGCTGCCCGCCCCCGTGCCTCTCCTCGCATCCCCCAGCCGCTGTTCCCTCCTCCAGCGCTGCCGGCTTGCCATTCCTGGCCCAGCACCTTATTTTCTTGATTTCCATGTGTCTTGCTTCCCTCCTTTCTTCCCGCAGCTTCTACTCCATGGTCAGTGCAGCCGGCATCGCTGAAGGCCTCAAGTCGCTGCAGGCAAGCCCCCACCTGCCTGCCAGCTGCCAGGCACATGCATGGCTAGCTGCCTGCCGCCGCTTGAGGGCACACCATGCGCAAGCGCGCCTCGCTCCCCGAGCAATTGCCCTTCCAACGTCCACGCCGCGCAGGCTGGCGGCGTGCCCGCTCAGCTTCTCATCATCGACGACGGCTGGCAGCGCACCGACGTGGACCTTCCGTACCGCGCCTTGGGTGGGCGGGAACCTGCCGTGCAGCTGCCCGTCGATTGCATTTACCGCGCGCATGGAGCCGCTCCCAGCTTGCCCCCTGACGATCGGTGCTGTTCCTGCCCCTGCCCTTGGCGACCTTCCCCGCAGCTGCCCAGCGCCACCTGGTGGGCCAGGTCAGCATACCGCACACCCAGGTGATGCCCAGCCCCCCCCCACCAGCTCCACTATGATGGCGCCTGCCCAGTTCAATCACCTCCCCTGCCACTGCTCCTCCCACTATCTCGACCCACATGCTTCTTTCCCTGCCCTCCTGCCCTCCTCCAGAGCGAGGTGGAGCTGGAGGATGCTGTGGTGGATCTGGTCATCGGCCCCGCAGGTGCGCGCTGCGGCTCCGATCCGACCTGCCGCACTTTGGCATCACAGCATGCGTGTGGCTGCTGGGGCTGCATACATGCATACTGCGGCCCTAGTGGGCTGGGCTGGCCAGGCAGGGTGGTTGTCTGCGCTCCGGCATCCGGATGTGCTGCCTTGCCATGAACCCCCCTGAGGTGTTGACTGCCTGCCTGTGCAGATGAGCGGGAGACCAACACGAGGCACTCTGTGAACCAGGAGGAAGACGAGATTCTGAGGTGGGCTGCCGCACTTCCCTCTTCCTGCGGCGCGCTGCTGCCAGTGGCAGCTGGCAGCGGGATTCTGGAGGCATGCCTGGGTGCTGCTGTCAGCCCGGCCAGCAGCAGGGTGGGACAGGGCTTGTGCCGGGAGGCTTCTGGTCTGTTCTTTCGAGGCAGCGTGAACTGCTTGCTGTTGTCAATGGGCGTTCAGCGCAGTTGTGAGTTGCACACCACCTCCCCCCCTGCCTCGCAGCTTCACCCCTCGGGCCCTGACGCCGCGCCAGGCCGCCGCCGCCGCCAACCCCTTCGCCCACACCCCGTCCCGCTCCGCGGCGCTACTGTCGCCCCGCCCGCTCAAGCTGTCGCCGCTGCTGGGGCCGCGGCACGCACCTGCCAGCTCCCAGGAGCAGCTGGAGCCTTGGGAGAGCCTGCCTGCTGCCCTGCCGGGTGGCTCTGCGATGGGCGGCAACGCAGCTGAGGCGTCAAACAGCCGCGGCAGCGAGGGCACCACATTCAGCCCCGTGCGGGCCCCAAAGGGCCTGCCGCCCATCGCCGCCGTGCGCCCGCCGCCGCTGGACCTGGCGGGAGGCGTCCCGGTAGCGGGGCCGGTGGTTGGAGAGCCGTGCGCCCTGGAGCCGGCAGCGGCCGAGCCTGAAGACAGGGAGGGGGATGAGGCGGTGGCGGCGCCGCTGCAGGCCGGGACCCTCTTCAGGTGGGCGCCTCATCAATAGCGATTCCACCCTGCTGGCTCGGAGACGCTCCGAGCCTCCCGATCCGGGTCTTCTTCTTCCCTCCTTCCTTCCTTTCTGCTGGCTGTGTGGCGCTTGTTCTGCTGCTGCCTGGACCCGCTTGCATCTGACAAGCCACCGTGTCGCCTGCGCCTGCGCCTGCCCCCTGTGCTTGACGCCAAAGCAGCTCCCTGCGGGACCGCTTCTGCCGCACCGAAGCCGCCGTGCTGCGCATGCTCAAGGCCTGGCTGGATCGGGCGCCTTCGGGTGCGGCGGCAGGCCTGCCTGCTGGATTTTGCGCTTTCAGCAGCTACTCCCCTGCCCCAGCTGCGTCGGCAGGACTGCCTGCTAGGTTCTGGGCTTTCAGCAGCTCCCCCCTGGCTGTTCAGCTAGCGAGCTCTGCTGACAGCCACCGTCCCTGGCCCACTCCCTCCTGCAGACAGCTGGCGCTTCCGCACCTTCACCGCCGCCGCCACCTGCATGCTACGCCCCACGCTGCTGCGCTTCTACGCCTGCTCCACCGAGCACACACGGCGCCTGGCCTCTGTCCAGGCCAACGCCAAGTTCTGCTCCGCAGCGGCGGGGCCCGACAGCGGGGACCTCAACGTAAGCTCTCTGAAGATCATGATAGAAGGCGGCGAGGGAGGGGCTGGCAGCTGCCTGATGCTGCACAATGGGTCCTGCTGAGCAGCGCAGCAGCTCGCGGTCCTCTGCTGGCGCGCCTGCGTTGCCCCAGCCCTGTGTCTTCCCCCACCACCCTGTCACTGGCAGCCCTGCCCTCGCCTTGCCCGCACGTGTGGCCTGCAGAGTGGCTGCGCGTCGAGCGACGGCCTGGCGCGGGTGGTGGCCCACCTGAAGCAGCGGTACGGCCTGCGGTACGTGTACATGTGGCACGCGCTGGCTGGCTTCTGGGCGGGGGTCATGCCGGACGGGGAGATGGGCAAGTACGGAGCCAAGGTGTGTGAGGCGGTGGCGCCGTGGCGAGGTGGTGGTGGTGTGGCAGTGGCGCCGTGGTGGTGGCGCGGCGGCGGCGAGCCTCCACCAGTGCTTCACCGACTGCTGGGCCGGCCGCCAAGCCAACTCCTCATTTTCGCCAGCCAGTCCGTCGTCCTCCGCCTTCTCTACAGGTGGTGCATCCGCGGCCCACCCCCGGCACGCTGGAAATCGACCCCAGCTATGCGTGGGTGCAGAGCACGCTGGGTGGGGTGGGCCTGGCGCGCAGCCCGCGCCACCTGCACGCAGACATGCACGCCTACCTTAGGAGTGAGCTGAAAGGGCCCCTGCTGGGAGTGGACGGGCAGCAAGAGAGGGACTGCGTGTGTGTGTGTGTGTGTGTGTGGCGCTAGTTGGGGCTGTCTCCAGTGAGGGCGCAGGCGGCAGGCGGCACGCTTGAGCAAAAAGCTTGCACCGTGCATGTGTGACATGCATGGTCATCCGTCAGGGCCGAGCCTCCCATGCAGGCTGGGTAGCCGGTGAAAGGCCTGCAGTCCTGCCCAGCTGGCTTACCTATTCACGCCCAAGGGCGTTTTCTTCCATTCTTTCTTCTTTCTTTCTTCCCTTTCAGGCTGCGGCGCGGATGGCATCAAGGTGGACGGCAGGGGCTGGTGGGGCACGCGGGTGAGTGGGCTGGGCCCCAGGCCCGGCCCTCACCACTGCTGTTGCGGGGGCACGGCGGCGCCAGCGGCGGCGCCAGCGGCCACAGCCAGTGCTGCAATGCACACCGCCAGCCAGCGCCAATCGCGCGGGCGCTTGCGGCCTGCTGGAAGCGTGGCTTGCTGCCTGTCCCCGGCATGTTTGAAAAGGAACTACTGTGCATGCGATGCCCCTGGCTCGCCCGCCTGGCTGGAGCCGGCTCCCCCTGCAGGCACCGCCACCGAGCTGGGAGGGCCCGCCCTGGCAGCCGCCTATCATGCCAGCCTGGAGGACTCCGCCGCCGCTGCCTTTGGCAGCGCTGTCATCAACTGCATGTGCGGCAGCACGGGTGAGCAGCACAGTCCGGCCCAGGCTGCGCGCGCTGTGCGCGCTGTGCTGACTGGTGGTGTGGCAGGGCCTTGGCCTGAGGCAGCGCCGTGGCTGGCATCGTAGGCCGGGCGGGCATCCGTGCAGGCCAGCCAGCTGTGCAGTAGCAGCATGTGAGCGGGCCACTGAAGTCTCCCACTGGTACTTTCTTAACTTTCCCCAATCTGTACTGCCCATTGCACCGCAGAGAACCTGTACAACATGCGGGACACCAACCTGGGGAGAATCAGCGACGACTTCTACGTGAGCTGGCAGCTTGCGGGCAGCTGCCGAGCACCCGCGGCTGGCAAGACCCGCCTGCTACTTGTAGGCGCTGCCAGCTGCCACGTGCTGTGCCTGCTGGCCTCCCCGCCTCCCCACCTGCCAGCGCGCCCCCCCCGGCCCCCCCCTTCACACACACACACACAT